GGTTGCTGTAGGTGATCTGGAAGTCTGGTTTTGAGACTTAATTTACATGTTGTCTCATTTCGACTGGGGGAGCAGGGAGGTTCTGTTGGCGCCTGGGTGGCTCAACTCCTCTCAGCTGGGAGAGGTGGGCCTGGGACCGGGAGTGGCGGTACGGTTGGTGGCCTGGAAGCCCCTTCCTCTGGACCAGGAGCAGTGGAAAGATGGCTCAGAAGCCCCTACCTCTGGGAAGGAATTCTTTAAATGCTGAGAACTTGATTAGCTCCAGTACCATGTTCTGGTGGTCTCGTGTCCTCTGTGTCTTTGTAGTGTGGAACCAGGTGGCTGTACAGAGAAGAGGCCAAAGGAGCAGGGGGGAGGTCCAGTGGATTGCTTCCGGGGCGCTTGCTGATTCAGTGTTTTCAGCGTGCCTGGCGACCTCGGAACTGGGTCCACAGACCTGCCTGTCTGCTGCGGGCTGATTCTGTGTTTTCAGCGTGACTCTATCTAAATTTTAATGGTGTTGGGTTGTTGAATTGTTTACCTATGTGGAGATGATTGGGTAGCCTGTACTGATTTATTCTGCAGTCAACTCTTGTTCCCATCCCCAGTCTCATACAATCACTATTTTACTTTCTATCTCTAAAGCTTTGCCTTTTCTGGATATTTCATAGAGTGAAATCACATAATGTGCTGTCATTTGCACATTACTTTTTGCAATATCCTTTTCTAAAGTTCAACAGTTTTGCTGAAAAATCACTGCTCAGTCTATTGTATGCATTTTGTTTATTTCTGGAAACTTGAAATTGTTGATTTTTAACATCTGTCCAATTTTATAGATACTTTGTGGGGAGTGGATTTGCTTGCCTCATCTAGTCAAATGGAAGAGAATTCTGTAATATTTTAATTATAGTATAGTTGCATATAAAGACTCCCTGAGATTGTATGTTTCAAATGCTAAGATCTTATTATAAGTACCTTAATATTCTTAGCTACAGAATTTGTTTTGGTCAGATCCATTCTTAATAGGGGTTAAGACTGTCTACTAAACACACAGAGCTAAGCTTTGAGACCAGACAATGAAGGGTTTCATGTTATTGGGTCACAGTGATTCCACATTTATTCTGCACAAAACCTGAGAAGTAGGAATATGTGAGGGAAGTGCTTAACTAACTGGTTCTCTATTTCTAAAACTGATACTTTGACTGTCTGTGATTCATGATGGCTAAGGCTGTGCACTATATTTGTCATAGAAATTACCTTTCCAAAGATACTGGGTGTGCATGAATACATTCTGCAAAAAATGAATGATGAATAGTTACATGTATAATCACTTGTTCTATTGGGAGTCAAATGATGCAAGACTTTGCAGGTAGGGTGACTACAGAATTCACTTTCTCAACCTGAACTTTCTTGAGAATGAAAGAAGGCTCAATTAAAAATTAGACTAAACTTATGCATATCTAAACAAAACTGGTGCTTCCTGTCGGTTATAGACCATAGCATGATACTTGTGGTTTATGTAAACAGTAAGATCAAGTCATCAAACCATTTTTCATGTACTTACCATAGGTAATTGCTCCTTGGCAAAGTATCTATTTAGTTCTTTGGAGTATTTTGTAATTGGACGTGTTTTATTTTACTGTTCAGTTTTGAAAATTCTTTGTACATTCTCGTCATCAAACTCTTAACTGTATTTGTATGGCACAAGAGTTTGTAATCTTTATAAAGTCAACTTTATCATTTTTTTTCATGCTTCTCTTGTCATGTCCAAGAACTCTTCATCTAGAATTAAATCTCAAATATGCTCTTCCATGTTTGCTTTAACATTTTTAGAGTTTTACATTTCAAGTGTAAAACAATGATATATTTTACCATATACTATGTATGGTGTGGTTTAGGTCAAGGTTTAGTTTTTGCTTCAATTTTTAGTTTTTATTGGTACATGTTTCCAATACATAATGATTACATTCCTTATGTGGACTTGTAGAATTAAATCTTTTTTGGCGAGCCCTTCTCCCTTTCATCTCTTAATTCCCTTCACATGTGAGAAAGATCTATCTCCTTACTTATTATCTATCTTTTATTTTGCTCTTTGCTTATCTGTTGAGTTTTTCATATAAGGGAAACTATGTGATATTTAATCTTGTGTTTCTGGTTTATTTCATTTAACAATAGTGCTTTTCAAGGAATTTACACATGTGTGTCCTATTTATTTCACTTAAGAGTATGGCCTCAATATGCATCCATTTAGCTATAAATGTCTCTAGTTTCTCATTCTTTATGGCTGAGTAGTACTCCATTTTATAAAAAAAAAACCCACATCTTATTTATCCAGTTTCCAGTTGATGGGCACTTGGGCTGTTTCCAAGCTTTAGCTATTACAAACTGTGCCGCTATAAACATGGATGCACATATATCACTGTGGTATGATTCTTTTAATTCTTTGGGGAAGATACCCAGCAAGGGAATAGCTGGGTCAAATGGGACCTTAAAATGAATAATTGCTAATTTGAAATAGGAAAAGGTCCAAAGGTGTAGAGGTGGTGGGAGGGGAAGTGGAAAGGGAAGAAGGGAAAGGAAAAATTATGAGAAAAGAAAAAAAATGTAAACAAAATCTATGTAAATAAGGAAGGGTGGAGGAGGTGAAGGGTGCACAGGTAATGTGGAAAAAAATAAGAACCAAGATTCATCATGTGCAGGTACAAGCACCCAATGATAAATGTAAATGTATTATATACCTAAAATGTACCAATAAAATTATTAAAAAGAAAAAATAATAATACTTTCAAGGAGCTCTGCTGTAAAGAAGGATAAACTTAAGTAATTTGTAGATTTACTGTTTTCATTGTGAATATCCAGCAACATTTGTTAAAAAGACTATATTTCCCCTATTAAGTTGATTTTGCTACTTTGTCAGAAATCAAGTGGATACATTTATGTGGTTCCAATTTTTAACTTTGTATTCTGTTCCATTTATCCTCAGCTTATAGTCATGTACAATGATTTCTCTCACTTGATTATTCTGTTGAAAATTGTTTTAGCTATTCTAGTTCA